TTGACTTTAATTGTTGAATGAAATGAATGAGAAATTAGCAAAAGAGAACATTTTTGGTGATAAAAGCTATGAGAGCGATTGTAAAAGCAAGGAAAAGAATGAAACCTTGTTAAAACAGATGAAAACCGTGTTAGGCCCGGACGAGCTGTCATAACATAACAACTGCACGAAATACTAATTTCTCGACCCCTTAATTACCCCTTGACACCTCTACATTACCCAAAATATGCAATTTCACCCCCTATAAGAACCACTGGGTTAAAGGATGAAATCAACAATCGCTTTCGCGTTAGAGTTGAATGAAGAATATAAGGTGCTTTTTCAAAACTGCGACTGGATGCGCCATTTTAGTGTAGAATATTTGCTGCAAATGAGCATACTTTTCTTTCCAAATCGGATATTAAGAGAAGCCGTCTGAGTTTGAAAAGACTCTGAATGAACGGAGCGAACGGCGAACATTTTGTTGCAGAAGGATGATGCTTGTTGTCTTGCAAAGTCAGAAGAGGAGAGAACGAAACTGATGTGATCAGCATTCAGGTTTCTTAACGAATAACGACAAAAATGACGTTTATTTATAAGTCCATACACAATTATTTACAACTATAATAGTAAGTACATAACATGACAAGACATTATAACCGTATTCGACGAGACGAGACTATTGCCTGAATGTAAGAAATCACGTTGGGTTCAATATGAACATGGAAGCACCTCATTCAGGAGAGAGATCAATTTCAGATCTACGAGATACTTAACAACAGCACATTCGCCATTATATGCTAACGATAGGCATTTCATCAACAAATCGATTGCCGAAAATGTTGAACAGACATGAAAGGCACATCTGAATTAAGCTGTACACAAAAAAGTGGAATAAGACAGTAGTTCAACGATTCGGTTGTAACGAGTAAATTTTTTTTGCAGTTCTTCATAATCTGTGGCAGCACCATCTTCTTCACATCAGAATAATAAAACTTGACATGAGGCAGGTGATTTACGACGGATACTTACGAAGTAGTATAAAAATTTTAGTCTTTGAAGATTTTAGAGAAAGTTTTTAAGATGGATATTCAAATAAGTGATGATGATGATGATGCTCGTTATGAAAGTGTGTCTGTTTAGTAATCAACAAAAATATTCCTTCGTTAAATTATTCACAACTAATGGTTCCTCAGATCGACTCGGACTGCAATACGCCAGAATGTTCTCGTTTGTTTTATAGACTCCATCTGGCCGATTTCGAATCCAACAAACTATCGTTAGTATCAATAATAATATCGCACAAGCAGCTACAAGGGCGATTATGGCTGCAATAAAACAACAACTTTATTGTTGATTGAACTGTTCTGCTGTGTGTTTAAATACAGCTGTTGTTCGATTCAAGGAATATTTCGAAGATTTTTTAGGTTTTGTGGAACAATTTCAGTGTAAACTGTTAAGTAATACGATACTGGCGATGATTCCAGAATATTTAATTTTCTTATGGAAAAACATTTGATTGGAAACAAAAATAAAAGAGTCAATATCCAAAATACAGAGAATAATATGAGCAATCACTGATGGATAAGCTGCGAATTCTATAAGTGAACTCACGCGCTAAAATCATCAACGAATTACGATACTCGACGATCGCATGGATTTGTATCTCGGAGTGAATTTCTTGTTCCTCATCGACTTCACCTGATGGAAACATCCTGAAACATCATTGAATACCCATAAGTAACTGACGCTAATCATACTTACTTTTAGACATCAAAACCGTAACTATAAGGATTGGTGAGAATTTGTGTTGTTTGAATTATTTCATTTCTGATAGGAATGCAAGAAATGAAATCAGTAAATTCACAAATGTTACTAACAGTTGATCGAAGGGGCAACTACCAAACCGAATATCGCCCTTATAAGATAACCGCGATGAGGATGGATCTTTTAGCGGAAATCCGCTTCCCACCTGTAATCGTGTGATACACCCTGTGAAATCTGAAATACAGCAACAAGTTGAGTGCAGTATGAATCGACAAATACGCGCTCATTGCAATCCATCATATCTATCACTCAACTATTCCGTCTAACCATTACTTTATACTTGACTGTAGAGAACTGTTCAGAACTGATAACCGATTAGATTATTATCAGTCTCCCATCAAAGTAAGTCTGAAAAATGACAGAAATAACAAACTTTTATCCAAAAAATTCCAAACGTTCAACTGCTCAAAGAACGTCCAGTTGCCTTGCATTGATATTGATTCATCATTATTGATCTGAAACCCAAAAATAACGATAAACTCTACTGAAGGTAATTATCAGCTAATGATAAACACTCAATGAACGGGAAGTTGTTTTGTTGGTGAAACTCTTTGACATCTTACAGATCATATCTGAGGCATTATTTATTGTCAACAAAAACTGTTGAAAAAAAGCAATATGCATAGCTCAAAATGGAGATAGTTCAGTAATGTATTCTTCAGCCAATCATAAGTAAACGTGCAATTCAATTGCACTGAATTTTTTGTAATTATACTGAAGGATATTTGTGAACTGATTGCCGTTCATAGAAACAGGAAAGATACGAAGATTCATATGGAGGAAGGGAAATTGGACGCTTACGGTCATAGTGAACGCAGTTTTATCGGCACAAAATCGAATATCAGCCATTTCGTTATCGCTGATGCGATGATATGTATCTGAGGATCTGTGATGAAAGAAAAAACCATCGAACACTGACATATCCAAATAACCTGGAAATTATCACATTCATCGATCATTTTAGAAACGGAAGCACTCTCAATATTAATTCAGATGTTATCAACAGTGTTCGCAACAAAAATATCGGAACATTCAAAAGATGCTAGTAACTAACCATGTTCATTGACAGTGAGATTAAATTCGGAATCAGCGAAGAGCGCTTTGGCACGAATAAGTGAATAATTAAGTGAATATGATTGTATGGCGATACGAAAACAAGATGCTTTGTGCGCTGGGTGTTGCCACGGTATAGAAAGGTGCGATCCTTTCGGAACTGACATACCAATATCTAGAAATGCGAATTCGTATACTTCTCACTGCTAACGCATCATTCGCCGATTCGCTCATCCGAAATAAACTAACAACATTCATAAGATGATAGTATTTTAACAAGACCATAACCAAAACTAAACATTTCTGATGATTTATGTAGTTTGAAATTATGATTCGGAATAACTGGGCTGAGCATTGTGATCACATAATACAACATATCCCAAGCCATTTCGGATGAAAACTTGACAATGACCTCATGAAAACTCGAAAAAATGTTACCTTGATCACATTTCGGTCCAGTGAACGGTGTTGTTGAGCAATTACATACGTAACTATCATAAAGTTCAGTGCATATAGCATCATTCGCACAACTGTCCTTCCTACACACACCACGTTCACCGATCTTAATAAGCTGAAATCACTGGAATGTATAAAATAAATCTCAAATCATTAACACGTAATTTCTTGCCCAGTGGGTGGATATCACAATATATGCTGGTTATAAGCATTATACGGTTAAACTAATTCAATGTTGCTTGCTTGCTCTAATTATGAAATATTGCTGCACTTCTCCGTTTGGTTCACTTTCATCAATAGCTATGTTCAGCAATCAGATTCACATCGAGTATTTTTAAAAAGGGATGGATCAGATAAACATTAAGGCAGTGAACCTGAACGTGTGATATGGGCAATTTTCGAAGTAATGACGACAGCTGAATTTCCTTTCCGCACAAATAGAGATTTCTGATCATGCCCGCATATCCAGATAAGCCATGTTGTGTTCGTGATCCAATAATCCAAGTGTACGTGTGAGGTAATACAATGGACTGATTCAAATACGCGACACTTCCATCCACCTTCAACACCATACCGTCCTCGTGCACCTCCCAATAGACGTGATGCCATTTATCGTCATTGATCGGAAGATCCGATTCAATTTCAATCACATTACCACCGTTCACTAGTTGACCAATGAGCTGACCACCGGCTGTGTACAACTGATACCAACGTTGAGCATTCACCGACTGCCAGGTGAAGATGTTCATTCGTGGATGACCGAAACGAACGTGCATGCTGATGTCGAGTAGTGATGCCGCAAATGACTGTGAACCACTCAAATGAATATCTCGACTCAGCAATGAGATTGTGTCGAATACGGATCGATGTGAGCAAACGAGCGCACCGATCGAGACGTTAATCGACGAGCTGGGTGTAGTGCCACCGAGGTAGAGATTCATGATGGGCAGTAGTTGCATATGTGAATTGAAACCCTCATCGACCGCATCCTCACCACTGTCGCAATTGCACATTCGATTGTGGATACACGACGAATTGATTGCACACGAGCACATCCGTGAATACGGCGCTGCGTCAGCCCATTGCAAACCGTGTTGGCCGTTCCGTGTCGCGTACCACGACGACGGTCGTCTTTCGTAGCCAAACGTCATCAACTTTGCACCACCGCGACATTCGTATCGCATGTACTGCTCACACCATTCGAAACCATCAACGAAACGATCGATCTGATTCAACTCCAATCCATACTGAAGCGTTTTACGAATTGATCCTGGCTCGGTGTATCCACTCACGAACAGCCCAGATGGTTCCAGGTTGTGATAAAGTGTTGTTGTGATTGTTTGATCTTGATCTGAAGGATCCATACCACCGAATTGATCTATTGTTCGTGCACACTGAACCGTAACTGGACGCAATAAATGACCACCGTCCAAATCAAGCGATACGTTTTTGATGGTTACGCGCTTGCTAGTGGATCTGCTAAACCACTCCTCACATGATCGGTACAACTGAGCTGAAATTTTTTAAAGCAACTGAAGTCAGATTCATTAAAACGAACAAAATCGATATTACTATTATTTACAAATATCAATACATCATTGAAGACATACTCTCCTCGATGTTGAACAAAGATAAAAGATATCAAAAAACAAGACTTGAATAAGAAAACCGAATGTGAGTTATAAAACTGACAAGAATGACAAGTGCGTCCGTAGAAATTCCGTTTGCAAATACAGCGATAATCGTTCAAAGTTATTTGTTCACAAATACCATCGTTTTCGCATGGATTCGGTGCACACCGAAAACTGTATTTGCATGTGTCCAGCGTGACATCGCCGAAGAAGTTGGCTGAACGAAACGCGACGGTCGCCGAGCGATAGCAACCGATTGCAGACAGATGGAAATGGGCCAGTTNATCAACGTCAACATTCAATCGCGCACCCCAAATCATCAACGATAAGGAATGCCACGATCCATCACCTACTGCAATCACTGAAATATGTCTCATCAACTCCATCCAGTCACTGCCTTCAATTATCGCAAGCAAGCCAATATACAACTAATTTTTAAAATCTTAACGTCTGGAATACAAAACAGTAATTCTCACGACCGCTTCGAGAGATTTTCAACTCCGAATGGTAAAATCGAATGCATACTTCCATAGAATATTTATAGGAAAATTTTTGAAAAAGGATACGGTACTTGTTGTAGGATCTACTTTGCATTCCATGCATTAAATTTCGTAATCAATTTCTCACGATCTGTTAGTGAAAATTTGTTCACGAAAATACTGCATAAGTAACGAATGGTGTTCATACATCCGTTCTTTATCTCAAGCCAGAAACAATTGATATCAAACAATATTTTATCGCTTGAACGACTCCACATGCATCCTTATCCGCATCGCATCAACACCTCATCCAATCCACAATCATAACAGCGTTGTTGAACTATCATAAGAGTAAATAAGAGTATTGTACCTGGATGAGAAACTTGTTCCACTCTCGACTTGTTAGTAGCAATTGAGAGGTGCTGATTTTGATTGATACTCAGCACAAGCAATGAATCATTTTGAGCATCACTTAGCATGAGAATCGTTGTGGGTTGTGGCAAAATACGGAATTCGATTGAGAACGGAAGAAATGAGAACGGTATCTCGACGAAGCCTCCCTTCGCTATTGTCATCAGTTGTGGCCGAGGCATCTGAACGTCAATCCTCATTCATCACCAAAACGAAAATGCCATAAACCATTCAAAATTTCTCGCTAAAGAGCTCTTTATCACTTACTTGACATTCACGTTTTTGTTCTGTCGGTAATTCAGCTAACAAATCAATATTGTTCAAGTAAAGCCTTGCTAAGCATCCATGAAATGATATCTCTATGCCTTCACTCATATCATCCGGTGGCCTGCCAGCTACGTGAATCTAAAACAAACAGTAAAATCTAATCAGTTGATCAGAACACAGATATTGATCTCCATCTGTGCAACCACTAGAACCCTTATGCTTTCGTTTGAATCACACTGACAATGTGAATGAAAATTCATCAAACTGTATTCCACACTGCATGTTTCATTGTCGATCGGACTGCGAGCTACCCATCACCAGTAGCTTTCGTATAAGGAATTCAAGTAAAATTATTTCCCGTATGTGACTGTTACGTTGAGATAATGCTTTAATTATAAGTGTTTGTTTGCGTTGTGCAGTAATATCTCGCAATAAAATAACACTACATTAATGAACGAGCGAGCATCAATTCAGTTGTTATTGGTGTCGTTTTACGTACCTTAGCACATTCTATGAGAAAACATATCGTTTTTAAAGTAAACTCGTGGGCGCTTATATTTAATTTATGCTGCGCTGATGTTCGTAACATGCATGATTATTTCATGTTGTTAACATGTTAGTAACATGCAGCGGTTATTTGATGATTCCGTGGAACATTACGAATGGTAATTATTGTGCATCTCAAACAACCAACGTGTTTGTAATATATTGCATAAAAAATTGATAATTCATGATTGAACGAACAGATTTCTATTTTAGCATATTTTATGATAGTCATGACAACTGAAACATGCATTGCAATCGAACTGAACGATGAAGAATAATTGCTGGTGTGTGTCTGAATTCTATGCGAAACATATGTTCATCATCACAGTGCGAGACTTGTGCTCTTTTCTATGCGATCATCAATCTCACAAAGAGTACCTATTATTGCGCATTTGATTCATTCCCTCTTTACTATCTTCTTGACTAGAATGCATGAGAGGTTTGCACACGATTCAAGCAGACAGATGTTTTGTAAAATTAATAATAAAGAATAAAGTGCAATACAAGAAACACTGCATACATGCGCATCGAAATCAAGTTTTCGATACAGTCCGGATGGTGTAGTGGTGTTCATAATAACACCGTCAATTATTAATTGCACCGAATCGAACTGGTGTACCCACTGAAAATCATGCCATTCTCCATCGTTCAGTGCCAGTCCTCCTGATATTGTTGAATGGCTCAAAGAACCTAGAATGTTTAGTGATTTAGCACAAACCTTATCATTATTCTTAGCCAAGTGAACATATACCCATACCTAAATCTGAAAGAATATCACTCAGAGCTAACGAAAGGTTACCGAATTGAAGCATTTCCACGCAAAATATCATAACATTGATACTGATGGCTTGCTGGAGAAAATCTCCAAGACATTAAGGAATGACTACATTCAGCAACTCCTTCTTCGCATTTTAATGTGATCAAAACGACTGAACGGTTATTGCATAGATAGGTAGCTTTCAGATCAACAGTAACCTCATACGTTCTCAGCAAAAAGGATTACTTATTATGGTTATTCTGAAATATTCAAGCTGCGCAAATGCTCTGAATGAAAAGTGCACTTAAGCTCGTGTGTATAGCTGATAATGGATATTTTCTGAACGTTTTCATTATTCCATTCTTCAGCATCGTTGTACTCGAATAAGATTATTAATGTAAGCTTATAGATGATAACTGGACGTTTGTGATTGGTAAATGTTAAACGAATAAAAGACTAGATAATGGCATTCGGTCGATCAAATGCCCTTTGCAGCGACAAATCGACAAACGATGAATACATAAAGGATGAAAGCGCTATGAATAAATAAAGGAAGCAATCTGCAAACGGAACAAACCAAAGTCGAATATTATATGGATTGTTCCACGAATAATTTGAGCAATCAACAAGTCGCCTTGATCAGCCAGTGAGAATATGAATATTCCATTCTCGAATGTACGAAACTGAACATTAAGTTGATTCTCGTACATTGAAACAATTCCCACTTTATGTGTATCAACCGTAAATGGCTGATCATTGAAATATGATATGGGTGTTTCTGCAATTTAATTATCGCTTTATAGCATCCGCAATTCAATTATAAGTGCATTGGGCAAATATGATATCTCATACCGTATTTACATGCTGTTAGCATTATGTTCGGAATAAATTGAGCATTTGACTGATAAACGGGTTCGAGGTATATTCTTTTCGCGAGAATATCCAGTGACTGCCATTCAACTGAGGTGGGTAATAGCGATGAATATATCACCTAGAAAATGCTGTTTAAGTCATTCATCTCCGGTGATTTTCATTGTTGTTTTCGGTTGCTTTAGGAAACTGATGCTGATACTGTTGATGCATTCAGAAGTGGTAAGTGAGAGTTTAAGAGTTAACGAGTACGGAACAAAAATACAACGAATAATCCAGTAAAGCGTTTGCGTTTTATGGCCTACTTAAGGACCTTTTTTAGGGGATTGGAATCAGAGAATGTTACAAAGCAAAAGTGTAATTTAAACATTAAAGGCACCAGTGGAGATCCACTATGTGAAAGAAGTTGTTTCCTGGTCATTTGATCATCACTTATTTCGATAAACACATAAAAGATGAATAATGGTGCAACAACGGCCATCTTTTTCAATGTGTAAACCTGACCAAGATCGATACTCCATGCCGAAAAATTTAATTCTTCGCATTCTATCGAGCTCACTGAAATACGCTCAAATAAGGTTCAAAACAAAGTATTGCATGTCGAGTGTAAGTCTCTTTAAACATATGTGGTATTATATTTTTGAATGAGAATATCTGAAGAATATGCTTGCTCAGAAAATGATCAAAGTGTGAGGAAATTGCAATTGTGAATGAGAATTGTTATCGACTGCACGATCGTATTGCAATACCATTAAATAACGCATTCATGCTGAAATTATTTCCAGAGAGCAGCCCAGCAATTTATTATCCAGTCAGTTCACTTCACCCAAACATATTTCATTAGTTCTAGACAACAACTGTGTTCATGCAAACCGTATTGAATTGCTTAAGAAAGAGTCATAACAAGCAAGACATACGCAAATAAACAATCGCACGCAAACGTACCTTCGTTAAAAAACAACGGGCACAATAGCAGCACAATTAGCACAATGTANATAAACCGAATGAAGCGTTTACGCTATAGGGACAGCTTGACGATCGTCGATTGACATATTAAGGCTTGGATGAATGGACGTGATTGACTTTGCTCGCTGGGTTGATTATGATGACTATGATGAGGGCAACGTGAGTGATTTCGGTGGCGATCTGGTCAAGTGGGAGACGATTGGGTGATGGGTTTGATGTATGGTGGATTAACGGCGATATACGACGATGAGACCACGATTTGTGTGTCCTCGCAGGAAGGAGGAGCAACCAGAGCAGTCAGTGTGATTAGTGAATAACGCACAACCAGAAATGGAAATAAATGAAACGATATGGTGGGATGAGAATTAGCATAAATACAACAACAACAAAAACAACATAGCATATAAGGAATAATATATATGTTCTACTGATATAAATATATAATATGCAGCAGCACGAGTAATAGGACAGACAGCTGCTGCTGCTGTTCTTGCGTTTGCTGTGTTATTATGGCGTTGTTTGAGTCAACTCCTCGCTCTTCACTCAGTCCGCTTCTTAAAGCGGTGGCCCAACGGCCGGCCCAACAACCGCAAGCTAGAGCAGTATTTGAGAATTGAATGGATGGATGATGGCTTGATGAAACTGACTGTGTAGTATAGCTAATCTAACTGCTGCAGCTAATCTTCAAATATACTCCTCACTAGCTATATACAACAAGCGATGTAGACAATTATGCTACGTATATTTGCTTATGATATCACAGCATCACTCCAATTCAATCGCATACTTATTCAAACTCATATTCGAATCCATGTTATGAATATACGCCATTTTAATTGGTATCAAAATAAAATCAGACCAATTCAGGTCGTCTTTACATGAATGCATTACAGATGTACAATTGCCGTGTACGAAAATAAAATTTTCTTACGGAATCTAGCATTCCATGCGCATCAATATATAACATTCATTAAATACTAGACGTAATATTTCTCGAAATATCGATCATAAATACGTGCATTCTTAAATCAACGCACTCGTCGTGTTCGGCAAGTAATGTTCAAATGAACCACAAACAAGAGCGTGTAAATAACTTGTGCAACTTTAAGAATATCAAACCTCTTCAACACAAACATAACAAAAGTTGCTGAAAACATAAAAAACACACCTCTATAATAAACCGTATACACAAACATAAAGCACAGACAATACAATTGCTGACGATTTATATTTGTAAGCGAAACGATAAATTGAAAAAAAAAGTGTACATTGAGTTAGTTATTTATTTATTTTTCCATCAATCTAAACCGCAGTTTTCATTTCGGCAGACGAATTCGTTTTGACAAATTGAACCGAAAACACTCAACAAATACGAATTGTTTAATATTGCAAGCAAAACGGCAACAATAATCAACGATATCAAATCCAAATATCTGAAGTGCAATCACCATTCGGATATCTCATTTCATGCGCCAGAAATGGTCCTCCTTCAATTCTGCCGAAATCAACCAAAAAATCCTCATTGATTGTCAATCCACCACGATCAGTATCCACATCGATTTGTATCATTCTGGTGCCACTCACTTTCGTCTTCGGATAGAATTGCTCATCCCATATACGGAACAACGATGTGGTTGCATAAAGCCGTTTGCCGTCTAAACTCAACTGTAACATTTGTGGACCACCTTCAATACGTTCGCCTTTTATGTAACACGCTTTTGGACGTTCCTGAATTTTATGAAGTTTTACTTTATTCTGATTTTAGGCAGATAATAATTCATTAAAGTATTCGAACAATTACCAGTGTTGATACCACAAAAGTTGAACACTTAAATTAAACCTTTATCGTACCCTAGATAGGGTAACGGCAAAAGAATGACTACTAAAAAGCCTTTTGTAAACAATGAATCATCTTGAAGGCCGTGTAAGAGGTCAAGAACTGCTTGCCTTATGCAACTGCAGCAATAAAACAATTCACTCGTTTATTTCCCTTTTACTACTGATTCAGAACGCTATTATCACGTTAACGGACCCATTTTGGGTAATTCGGGGGTGTCAAGGGGTAATGAAATGGGTTGGGAAATTAATATTTCGTGCAGCTGTTATTTTATGATAGAACGCCATTGCGATGGCGTTTTTTAATTCGAGCACGTAAATGCGGTTAGCAGATGGTAACATATTTTTCTTATTTTCTGAGTATCATTAGCTCGTTAGGGCCAGCAGGGTTTTCATTCTTTTCCTTGCTGCCACAGCTGCCTCTCACAACTTTTATCGCCAAAAGTGTTCTCTTTTGCTAATTTTTCATTCATTTC